TAGGTTACTCGGGTTCTTTACATTCAGAGCTTCATTATGTTAATCTTACTTCGGATTCACTATAAAATAACAGAAACCTAATAATCTTTAACATCACAAGAGAGCTAAGTCAATTTATCTTGATTGTGTTATTTAAAATGTATAATGATATGCATTTTTCTCCTTTATTCAAGTTGCCACAGGATTATATAGTCAATTTACTTCTTTTAAAATAGAAGAGAAAAAAAAATCAAGTTTTTCTACCATTACTTAAGAAGACTCAAATGTGATGAATACAATATGCTTACTTTTTCTTACATGCAATATCGTGAATGTTTAAATATGCATAACAAAAACTTTGTCGAGACACTGTTTCTTATTTCCTTAAAGAATAATTTTTTAAGAGTGAAGTCTTTCGTAAAATAGCTTTTCATCAAAATTCTTTACTCCTTTTTATTATCATATTGTTAATCTAAGTAGAGTGTGTTTGGATTATCCGACTAGTGTTCTTTTCGATTATCCGACTAGTGTTCTTTTCGATTATCCGACTAGGGTTATTTTCGATTATCCGACTAGTGTTCTTTTCGATTATCCAACTAGGGCTCTATTCGATTATCCAACTAGAGCTCTATTCGATTATCCGATTATAACTGTTTTCGATTATCCGTCTAGAGTTCTATTAAAGTATCTGACTAGGACTTTTTTCAATTATCCGTCTATCATTCAAATCAATTTTTCGACTTAGGTTTATCTTATTTATCCAACTAGAACTCATCTCGATTTTCCGACTTTTTCAGATTAGTTTCATCAAAAATAAATTGAACAAACTTAAAGAATTTTTTGTTTACAAAATCAAGAAGCATGTTTGAACTTGTAAATAACTCAATTAGATATGGTACTATTATCTTCGATTCCTTTATCATAAATACATATATAGCAAAAATCCAAATAAATATGCATAAAAGAAATAAATAACCATAGACGAAAGAGCTGCCAAGAGGAATCAGATGTAATAATCTAAGGATGGATACAAAAATATTGATTTAAATGCTTTTTAGTGCTGAAATTTAAAATTTATGCAAATTAATTTACTATATTTTTTCCAAGATAGATTATTATTTTTTAATTTATGCTTTGTAAGGTATTGAAGCTAATTTTTTGTATTTTATCAGTGAAAAAAAAAACTTTATACAAGATTCAAGCTCATTTCCTACATGCACCTCAATTATATTGTAATGGAAAAACAAAGACAAACAAACAACAAGCAATCAGTTAAGCCCATTAAAATAAATTAGCTAACAAGAACTATAGATTTTGGTTTTCATTTGCTGATCGTGATTGAAATTATTTTAATTATTAGTCATCAGTATTAAACACTTTCAAATGAAGTTGAAGGTTTTATTCTCTTTTTCTGTATTTTCATAAGCTTGTAATTGATAATTATTGTAGTTGCTTTGCCGTAGGTTTGCGTCGTAAATCATAAAATCATGTTTAGAACATATTTTTGATAAGTTAAAGTTGCTTTCAAAGCTAGGAAATTTATTGATTTTTAAAAAAATTATCTTTTTGGGAAGTTCAATTAAAATATGAAATAAAATGAGAGGATTAACTGAACTACTGCAATTAAACCTAAAGTTCTAAGTTGGATAGAAACCGTTCTTTTAACTGCTTTACAATCTCGTAAAAATAGTTTGGACTCAATTGATCTTTTATTTTTGAAAAGCTTTAAATACTGGAGGTCCTCGATTTTAGTAGGTGTTTTGTTCCAAAAATATCCTATTCAAATCAAATATACTCAAATTGAATTATTTCCATTTTGAATGAAAAATATCCGTTACAAAAATTTTTTTAAATCTTCTGTTCATTAATTTTCGTTACTCAAATCGAATCTACTCAAATCGAGGACCAATAGTATCTAAAATTTTCAATTATTATCACACGCACTCTTTCAAATGTGTATTATTTATAAGTTCAATGAACTTGAAATTGCTTTTAAAAAGAATGCACAATTTTTTTTATTTTGTTTTTTAAGGCTCTTCGATATTTTCTTAATGTTGGTCTCATAAATAAAGGAAAAAGAAACATAACTTGTTTTGGAATCGAAGTCAAATCATTTTTAAGTGAACCATTATTTTAATTTTAGTTTATTTGTTTTTAATTCATAAATGACGTAAGAGGAGTGAGATAAAGAAGAGGTGTAAATCTTAAGCTATGATAAAATTACTTCGTATCCAATCTTCTCTTGAAAAGTACTTACATTAGTTCCCAATCGTGGATATTTTCCAAACATTTTATTTATATTGTTGCATTTTTTCTCAATTATTCGTTTAACGATCTTCTAATTTTATATTTCAATCAATGTCGAAAGAGGCAAATAATCGCTCAGTACAAAAAAAATAAATAAAATTCGTGTTTTTCTTAGTTACAATGAAATGCATAACAATTCAAAATGTTATGGTAATTATGCAGTCTTCCAAGTTAATTTTTTAAGACAGGAAAAAAAGAAATCGAGCAAGAGAAGATTACATGTAGTTAATTGTGCAAAGTTGTTTTTTTTTTATTATGGGAACCAAGTTAAATTGCATTAGACAGCAAAACAAGGATAGATAAAGTTTTGAACAAAAACAAAAATTGTAAGATGAAAAAAAAAACAACAATACAACATTATTTTTTATGAATAATAGGGTTCAAGTTTTTAAGATGTGATCTTCTTAAGACAACAGCTTTATACTTAGGGTGACTAGATATTTTCAGAAAAAAAACATTGAATTTGAGAGATTTTTGCACAAACTATTTGTTTTTTAAGAATTCTTGATTATAATATAATGTATTCATAAAGTTAAAAACTAGCTTAATAAAGCTATTATAAATAAAAAATTATAGAATAATTGAAATTTAAATCTTTAACTTTCCAAAAGAATTACAGCAGTGTCCCGCCAAAACTAGAGATGGTCATCATATTCGAATTTCAACAAACTTTTGAAACAAAAAATATGGTTAAAAAGGCCAAAGATCAAATCCTTAATTTTACCTAGACTACCCAATTGCCGTTCACAGAACACATAATTTCTTTTATTCTCGACGATGCAAATTTTAAATCGAAACTTTAAAGTTAGGTTTTTAGATTGTGACAAACTAATGTTAAAGTCAGGTTAAAGTTAAGTTCAAACAAAAACAGAGCAACTCAATTTCTGCTCCACACCCGAATGTCATTCAATTAATTTCTTAAACTAAACTTAATTGATTGGTTTTCTTAAATGTCATGACTGTTTGCTCAATATCATGTCTTGTTACCAATGACCATACATTTTATAAACTCGTGATATTATTAATTAAAATTAAATTCTGTTATTTTGAGTGAAAGTTATCAGCAAATTTATTCATTTTTAAATAAATTCTTTAATTTTGTAAATTGAAATAATTAAAAAAAAATGAAAAATAGATAATTAAAATTACCTGATGATTACAATTTACTTAACATGTATGGTAATTTCCACAAAAACTCATGGGCATGCAGATAAGAACGTAAATTATCTCACTTTATATTAAATTAAATTGCATCACACATAAAAGATGAAAAAGTGCGAAAGTGTAACAAGCTTGATGTTTGATAACTGCTCTTAATTAAACAGATAATTTATGGGAGAAAAATGCAATGTAATTAATTAATAATTTTTTTATCTTTAACTATGATTTATAAAGCTAAGTGATCGACTAAAGAGCTACCGAAAAGTGTGGGAATCTAATTTATCAGAAAAATATTTCCTAATTATAGTTATGAAAAAATTCGAACGATTCAAAAGTGACTATAAATAGATCATAATACAAAATACATTCTACTTAATAATTTTCTCGCTTTATTTATTGCAAATATCATATAAAGCAGAGTAAAATGATAGCACGAACTCAAAAGAGTACTTTATTTACTTTATAATAAAAAGAACCTTATTTGTATGAACTGCACGAAGATCAGTGCAGTTTTTCTGCACAAATACACATACTATAAAATGTTCATTCAATTCAAGTTGTAGATATGTACACGAATACATCCAAAAAAGCCCACTCGATAGTTAAAAAGTGCAGAAAAATACATTGTTGCTGAATAAACGAAGTGAAAATCGCAAACATTGTATAATATCTTAGTTGTGTTAAAATAAACCGTCACTATTATATTAATATTAAATGCTGATTGAGGAAATGACGATTTGCTTTAAAAAATGGTTATTTTATTTTTGAATATTGAGTCATTGACATTTATAGATATGAGAGATGGAAATGAGATGTGAAATTTTGAGGCATATGAAATAAATGAAGAAAATTCATTAGGGGGGGGGGGGGGGGGGGGAGAGGGGGGTAGAGATAATAAGCGTCCGGTCCTCAATTTGATTTTTTTGTTGTGGACTCAATACGGGCATCATCAACCTTGTAAAAATTCATTAAACGTAAAGTTTGGCGTTAAAAACATAAATATCAGGTTTTTGTCATTTAAAAAAAAATCAATTTAAAATTTTATTTTTTTAAGTTTTTTAATAATTGATTTTTAAAATCAAAGATATCGAGAATTTGTTTCAATATGTTTTTAATAAAATAATAAGAAGCGTCAGACTAAAATAAAAAGTGCACACATGCAAGAAAAAAATGTTTTTTTTTGCCTTCAATTCTTTTTGCTTATTTGTGTGCGGTTAAATGTATTTTTATTTTAAAATAATTTTAAATTTAAAACAAGAAAAAACAGAGAGTTATCTCGTCGCTGACTCTCGAATACAATGTTGTATATTAAGTTTATTTTTTACTCAAACGTGTAAGAAGAAAGTTGATTCAGTTCAATTTAGAACTTTTAGCATCGTGAGTGAAATTTTTTTTCGTTTACTCATTCAGTGTATAATGATCTTTTTTCAAAATCTGCAAGTGATTTTATCAAGTGGATTTTTCAAAGTGCTTAAAACTTACTGCAATACTTGCATAATGCTATAGCTATCAATTTATTAAAATTGAAATTTTTGTAAATTAAAAAATTAGAATTTAACGTTTCGTGATCTTATTAGACGATCGCGATCTCCTCGATTCAAGATTATTCAAAAGTAAGTCAGTATTATTAATTATTAAGGCTGATTAAGCCATAAATTTAAAATAAATACAAATTTAAAAATCTAGTTTCATTGTAACTTACAACATTCATTGTATTTCTATTTATATGAAGCTAATTAAATTAAATTTCTCTAGACTAGCTTTAATATCAGACCATATCATCTGCTATAAAAGAATTTTCTGTCTATTTACCCGTCTACTTTTCACAATTCATCATTGAATCTTATTTATTGCGATAATTTTTAAAGTCATCGATGCATTTAGCCTCCGTGTATGTACATTTACACACATTAGTGTACGTTCCACTGCACTTTTTAATCATTTTCTATTTATTTCATTCTTCCTACTTTTGTTACTTACGATTTCTATACAAAGCAATAGCAACAACAACAACGGTTGTGATTTATACTAGACTGTAGGAAAAATTTATCTTGCTAAAATGCAGATTCTTTATTGCTATTTAGTAGAAGTACAAGAAAGATATTCACAATTTCCGTTATCAAGCTCATGGTACGCACAAAGTTGTTTTTCTGTCCATTTAATCTTTTACCGACTGTTTTTTGCTGCACTCAGAGGTAGTCTAAGAGGGGGGGGGGGGGGGGCATTGTTCCCACGAAAAATACAAAAAAAAATCCGATACATTAAATCGGCGAAATAATTAATGATTTGGCTCTAGGCGACAATCAATTTGCTACGCCCCTGACTGCACTGTGCTTTATCAACGCACTTTATAAACTTAATTGTGTCATTAAAGATAGTGGAAAAATTAGAGCGAACTAATTGGCAATTAAAGGATCGTTCTCTTACAATCTTGATACTAATACGACCACTTATGTACCGACAAGGCAGCAGTGGCATTGTGATTAGAGTGTTGGCCCTACCGACTCTAGTTTGATTTAATGAGAATGTCTGGTCGGGTTTGAGTGATTTTTTGCTGTTTTACCTTAATAAAAACTCCGCATCCTTGAAGCCCGTTTTTAAAATGGTTTCATGGACCCCAAAATAAATTGATGTCCCCTTTTTCATGGCTAATGAAGTCATTTGAAGATTATTTTAATTTGTTTAAAATTTTAAAATTTTTTTTTCAATTTAATTTTTATTTTAAATATAACATAATTTTTTTCCAATTTCTTAAAGAGAGTGTCAGAGCCTTATTTTTTGCTTTATAATAAAAAATTATTTAAATTTAAATATTGCTACCTTAAGGATAAGAATCTAGATTTTATGCAAATTAAAGTTGATATAAATTTAATTTAAAAAATACTTAATGTGTCCATTATGAGTTCTAGAAAATATATGGCTCTTAACAATTTTAATCTAGAAGACGTCAAAACCTCTTCTCGATGGGATAATTTCTTATATTTACTAAGATTTCAACCAACAAAAATTATTTGTCTTTTTAAAAAATTTAAAATCATTATAATGGGACATTTAAAAATTGACGAAAAAAAATGGTTTAAAATATATTTGAGAACCAACAATCCAAATTTTTTACCAGAGTTGTTCAAAAAGAAGAAGCTATTATCTTCATTATGTCGAATCATCAGAAAATTATTAAAAAATGTTAAGGAATGCAGCTTTTTTTTCTCACATGATTTCCAATTTTTCAAGGTCATTAAACGTTTGTAATAATCTTCTAGTGCATTTGGATTGTGTAAGGTGATGTAGGAGAAAGAAGATTGCATTTAACATATGATAATAAACTCACACAAATATGCATTTTATACTTCTTTTTTTGAAATGTATGCATATACTGTTTATATGACATTCAAGTGGGACAGCGACTATAAATTTCTTCACTTAATCTTTCCTAAATATATTTTTTAAGAATATGCAAACATCATTTTGAAACAAAGTCGCACAAAAAGCGCGCGCAATTTTTTCATTCGATGTTCTTTATTTTTTTGATTTTTTTAAATAATTAAAATACCTTTTATATCGAAAGTCGTTCATCTGTTACGTTGTACTTTTAAAGTAGAGGGGGTCAGAGGTGTAAACAAAGGGACCTCAACGATAGGCGTGTAGCCAGGAGGGGGTAGATTTGGGTGATAAATTTTTGCCCCCTCTTCAAATTGCTGACTATTCCCTTGCTCGACGCTTTATAAAAATTTCATATCTATTTTTAAAAGAGGATGCTCCCCATAAAGGGAGGCCAGAGGACATCCAAAAAATAAAAAAAAACTCTTAAAAAGCTCAACTTCCTTGATCGCGATAGTTATTTCCCCTCAGGATTTTCTCTTAATTGATCATGAGTGGTAAAACCTTGCGATAGTTACATTTACTTACTTTTTAAAAACAGCATCTCAATATAATTAGATTCACGACACGAGTTAAACTTCATGACATTTATGCCTTTCTTTTGTCGAGTATCCGTGGCATTAAGAAAGCTCATAGTTCTATAAAATAAGTATAATCGGTAGAAACTTCTCCTTCGCTTGATTTAACATCAATGAATGAAGCATGTATGAATGAATAGAAGGAGGATAAAAAGAAGTTAAGAAGAATGGGAGAGAATATCCATAAAGAGATCATATCAGAAGCTAAATATACAATACTAATAATGTGAATGCATTCTGAAAGGTTCACATTGAACGAGATGAAAATGGAAGCAGTGAGGAAGAATTATTATTAATGTTTTTTTAAGTGATCATGTCTAAGTTTCATATGGCGTGAATTATTGTTTGAAAAGAGATAAATTGCAACAATAAATATCTTTTGCACATTTTTCTTACCACAGCTTGCCACTTCATTTCTTATGGTTGGTGTTGTTCAAAAAGATAGCAAAGAATTTTTTATTGTTCATCATTTAATAGGACAGAATTAATGTCGTGATTTTCAAGAGATGAGATTGTGTTTATTTATATTGTATCCGATTGTTTATTTATTTGCAAATTTTTTTGAATTTTAATAAAATCAAATATATTATTTAATGGACCACTTGCATCACTTATAAACTTCATTATGCTCATTTTAATTAAATTAAATATTTACCGAAAATCAAAATAATTTTCCAATTTTTTTTTTGATTTTTTAAACATCTAGAATCATGACATTAATCATTAAAAGTTCTCAAGTAAAGCTCCATTAACAATAAAAAACAAAGATACTGTTTAGAGCAGGAAATAGTTTAAGTTGGCATTCTGCCAAGCTTGTTAATAACCCCCAATAGTGTAGATATGGCTTGAAGAGCATACCTGTGGTTGAAAATGAAGTAAGATAAGTATCTCGTTGACCGAGTGGCAGGGATCTCTGATCGAGTGATCAAAGATCGTTTCTTTTGAGGTCGTTGGTTCGATTCCCATCGAACCCGACTTGTATTCTATCACCATACACATACAGCAGTTATAAGGATGTGTACAAATCGCTCAGTGACAAGAAAATAATTAGAACATGAGTTCGATTCCCATTCAAGACAACTTATTCAGGAAGGTAACTCTTCCTGCTAAGCATTGAATCTTAAGTATCAAAATCAGTTTAAAACATTAACTTTGTTAATAATAAGTTCTCAATCATTCAAACACAACAGTTCAATTGTAAGCTTAAGGAATAATTTAAAAACACAGCAAGAGATCTCTGTAGTCAAAGAAAATCAATTTCAAAAGGAGAATGCAATAGTCTGCAGTTTGAAACCTAATTGAGATCTTTCAACACTTAAGCCGCATTAAGTCGTCACAACTTAATTAATCGATCGATCGATTTTTACAATTTCATATCTGTATTTGAAGTTTAAAATAAATCTATTAATAAAATTGCATGCAGTTTTTGTAGAGGCAATAATTTTTAATAAGCTTTACAAGACGCTTGTGTATTTATAAAAATGTCGATTATATGTTTTCATATAACAAAATATTGTATTTAAATAAAGAGTAGTAAAAAATTCATTTTCCGTTTCTCCTTCTACACATTTTTCAATCTCTCTTAAATTAATAGTTTTTAATCGACCGGCTGCCTTGAATCGTTCTTTTTTATTATTTCACTACTCTCCATAACCGTGCATATGCAAATGAGATTATTTTTTTATTATTTTTTTTTATATGACTCTCTTTTCTGCGTTTAAAACTTAAAATATTTTTTTTTCCTTGTGCGGCTTGCAATATATCGTTAAAGAGAAAATTATTAGGAGGCAGTTGGAACGAGAAGGAGAGAAGAAACTTTGTATGTCATGTATGTAGCTTGTATAGAGATTTAGTCACATTTTATAATAATATTTTTTGCTGTTGGCTGTAATAAAAATATAAAATATCAAACAATAATTCACGCGACATTAAAAAAATGAAAAGAATGAAATAAAATAAACGGGAAAGATGGAAATTTAAAAGTAGTAATTGTTTAGCATCTTAAAGTAATTTGGTTTTTATAACAAATAATAAGTAACTAGAAAGGACTTAAGCCTTTAAGTCATGAGCGCATTTATTATACTTTCATTTATTTTGAAAGCCACAAATGAAGTCATACACGTTATATTGGAGTCTTTAAGATTTAAACTTATTTCTCAACAAATTGAATAGATTTTCTTATCGGAGTTTGAATCCCAACCCCTTTAACTCCACTCCTGCTTCATGCAATCTTCCCAGTTTCTCTCAAATTCAACATTCTGATCAAACAATTTACAAAAAAAAATTCATTCGTCAAAATTTGATCCTCACGGACAAAACAAAAAATATATCACATCTTTTCAATTATTGTTACTATATTATGGTGGAATGAGTTTTATGATTTCTGACTCATATTCCAACATCACAAAGGGATATATGACTTTTTTAAATTTTGACGACTAAAGCAGTCTGATATATTATTGCTTTTGGAATTCTTTTGTCAGCGCATTACTAAGTGTGATTCGTATTTAATTTTAATTATTTAAAATAAAAAAATATGATTCTTAATAAACATCATAAAAACATTTTTCTATAAATAAACGAATTCCTTTGAATTTTAACATACATACAATGTTTGAAACTCACATAAAAATTATTATTATTATTTCCTTTAAAAC